ACACACACACACACACACACACAGACATATCCTGGATTAGCCTGCCCAAACCCCTCCAAATAGTTCTGGTCCGTGACTGTACGAATACGAATATGCTGCTTGGTGTAGCAATAGCAAATTCATATGCCAAACGTGCAGTAATTCCTCAAAAACAAAAGAATTCACTTCGTTTTGTGAAATTAATCTAAGCTGTTTGGGATATCGGGGGAGCTGCGACGGCTCTGCACGACTGGGAGCGCGCAAACTCGATGGCCACGGCTTCAGCGCAGGTAGTGACAGCAAGTACCATTTCACTCTTAGCTCGATTCAAAGGTTCAATTTTGACAACACCTTCGATCGTCACGGGGGCATTCACCTCCGTCACCACCTTCAATTCAATCTCCTGTTTCTTGGGTCGATAAATGACTGCCAAAGTCACTTGGACGACGCACATGACCACACCCAGCGAGTTTGGGGTAAGAACGAACATGTCGTTGCTGAGAATCGCGTACATACACCACAGTGTTCCGTTGAACAAGTTGACGACGCACATTGTAAACGGTAGCGAAGCAGACGATTTGGTGTTAATCACGAGCTTCATGGTCTGCAGTGGAGCAGCGTAGAGGCAAATATTAATGGAAACTGCACAGTAGCCGATTATTTCTTTTAGTTGAGCAGTCTGTACTGATATAACCCCAGTCAATGCGAGCGCTGTGAATGCCACCGCTGTACTAAGTCCGAGTCCGGTACATGCAGCCATCTTGTTCAGTGTGGCTCGCTCGGTCGACCAGCGGTAGAAAATCGCAGAGAAGGTGACTGTTGTCATGATGCCAAATATGTTGATGGACATGACGGGGAAGTAGCTGCCGCTGATGAGTCCGTAAAGCGCCCACAACGCGCAATTGCAGCACAGCATCAACACTGGGAGAATGCGGACCTCACCCGTACTCTTCTGTGTTTGAATTCGTCGAAAGTCTGGGTACGGGGACAGACAAAGAGCTACAGACGTGATCGTCGCGACGACATTGACGATAGCAAGAACTAGCATGTCGTTTTCTGGAAGCAAGCTAAGCTACTTGCAACTTCCGAAAGAAACGTGGGTGTTCGGTGTCCAAATGGGAAATGAGGCCGTGATGGTGGCAGCCATGAACACTGTCGGTCTACTTCAGAACTGATATTTTTGATGAAAGACCGAATTACCTCTCGACGCTTTTGGACGCAGCGTTCAATTTGGTCTACTTTGGCAGCAGTAAATCTTATCTTATGCATTGTAACGCTAAGCTGAACGATCCCATTTCCGATTTCTGTCAGACACACTGCAATCAGAAAAAAAAAATAATCTCCAAGCGCATGGGATCAAGTAAAAAGTGAACACGAAGACGAGAAAGATGTTTCCCAAGTTTAAGTGGTCGAATCACAACTGCTGTCAGGCAAAGTACTTTGTCTGTACCACTTCAATTGTACACCACCACTTCAACTTGTACCACTTCAAGTGGTACCATCTAGTTGTCCCTTCGTTGAGTGCGCGTCACGATGGCGCGTCGACAATCGTTTATCACTGGATGGACCACGAAGGACCGTCTTCCGACCTCCATTAGCAATTTGGTCACCGACGGCAATGACGCTGGCTTTTGATGTGCTGCGCGTGCTGGCTACGTGCTCCTCTTTGGCGCTCTACGTGTCCCCGTGGCCCGAATTCCGCCGCATCGAGCGCCGGCGTTCGTGCGGGGACGTGTCGTTGCTGCCCGTCGTCATGCTTTTCTGCAATGCCTTCATGTGGTGCGTCTACGGCTGCGTCGCCGATAGCATCTTCCCCCTAGTGGTGGTCAACGCGTTCGGCGTCTGCACAAGTCTCATTTTCTCCGCCATTTACATGCGCTGGGGATCCACAGAGCAGCGAATTTACGCGCGCCGACTCTGGGTCGGAGCCGGCACGGCAATGCTGCTGGCCACCACCTATGCTGTCTTAGGATTGCGCGGCGCAACCGGCCAGCACCCGGTCGATGTCGTGGCTACGCTCGGCCTTGTGTGTGTCACCTGTAATGTCAGCCTATTCGCGTCGCCCCTGGAGACCGTGGGCACAGTCATCCGCACCAAATCGGCGGCGTCGCTGCCCATCGAGTTGTGCGTGGCTAACCTCGTGGCAGGTGCGCTCTGGTCTGCGCTGGCCATCGAGCAGAACGACATGTTCGTGCTCACTCCCAATGCGCTGGGCATGCTCTTGGGCATTCTTCAGGTGGCCCTTTACCTCGTATATCCGCCGCGGCTCCAGGCGGTGCTACGCCCGGAGCGCTCACGTCCGCTGCCCGTTATCACGTCTGCTTCGAAGCCAGACGAGCTGAGTATCAAGGTCGCAGTGCAAGGGCCCGTGTTTCTGCCTGAACCGAGTTCGCTGACGCCGCTAGTGGCGCCGTCACGCAGAGGGGTGACCAGATCGTTGTTGCCGACCAGCTACGGATCGAAGAGCGTTGAAGTGGCCGCCGCATGAGGAAGGACCGACACCCTATAAGTTTCGTGTACGCTAGGCTTGCTAGCAAGCTTTGAGTCGTGTATTGAATTTGCAGCTTCACTCGCCGCTTTCGTCTTCGTTTTTTGAGAAGAACTACCCTCGACATCAGTACCTTGCTGGTTCAAGGCCGAAACGAGGACAGTACATGAAGTTGTTGGCCGCCATGACGAGTCAACGCCGTAACTTCAAGCCATATCATGCAGGTCGCTCGACCGCGTCAACATGAAGGTGGTCATCTCCATTCCAGCTCACGGACGGCCTGGCAGGTCGCCCGACAGGCTGCATGACGGCGATCCAAACGAAACCTTCTCTATTGACTGCAATTAACTCGCGTCGACCGGCACTGGAGCCGGCCAGCGCTGTCACTGCACTGGCCAAGCCAAGCATCGAAAATAACCATCTCGAAGCCGTTTCCTGTTTCCAGCACGCGAATAATTCACTCAGTAAAATTGAGCGGCGTACCAGAATCTCCATCACTTGGCGGACCTGTTCCTGCACGAGCTTCGTGTTGTCGCGATTCAACTTCAAGCGATACACTTACAAAGGCGCTGTATGTGTGTCTGTCCTCATCTGCCTCGAGAACGTCCCCAAGGCCAACGTCACTCACGCGCCAAAGTTTGCCAGCAGTTCCCAAGCCAAATTTCCCAAAGCCACCGGAGATGCGAGGCTCGCGTCAGGCGTCAGAGTGTGCCACGTGCTGTTAATGTCCAGTCTCCAGCCACGACGATCGGGAAGCACCAACGCCGAGCGCGACGTCATGCTCGCGCTAAGGTAACGCCCACCGAACGCGCCGCAAGTTCAGCGTATCGACCAGCAATGTAAACGAAAAGTGTCGCCAGAGAGATGAGCGAGCAAGCGAAACGAATGGCCCTCGCTCCAGCTTGACACACCGCTTCGCAACGGTTGCCATAGACTAAGAGGCTCTTTGGGCGCTTCAGCCGATCACCTGAACCGGGTAATTGACGCGTACATAGCGGCCTCATTCTTCATCCTCCCCCCTTACGCCGACATGCTTGCGCTCACTATCGTCAACGTCACGGGCACCGTCACGACTATTATCCTGCTCTTCTCGCCCTTCCCGGATTTCCGACGGATCCACTCGGAAAAATGCACAGGTGAAGTGCGCGTCCTACCCGTGCTCATGCTAGGCGTCAACTGCTTCACGTGGTCCGTGTACGGCTTCCTGAGTGGCACGTACTACCCCGTAATGTCCCTCAACGCCTTCGGGGCGCTCACATCGCTGGCGTTTACGCTCGTCTTCTACCGCTGGAGCGCCGACCGTCCCGCACTGCACAAAATGGGTGCTGTCACAGCTGCCTGGGTCGTGCTGGCGCTGATGTTCGCGGTGCTCTGCAAGACGGACGTCATCGATCTCTCGTCTAATACTCAGGAGAAGATCATCGGTTATATCGCCGTCCTCATTAACATCGCACTCTACGCGTCGCCTCTACAGACGATGAAGCTCGTGTTACAGACCAAGTCGGCGGCTTCCCTCCCAGCCACCATGTGCTGCGTCAACCTCGTGAACGGGTCCCTCTGGGTGCTCTACGGTATCTTGGCCAACGACATGTTCGTGCTCACCCCCAACGCTTTAGGTGTGGTGCTCAGTGCCATCCAAGTGGCGCTGTGTATCAAGTTCCGACACACTGGACGTGTCGTGGAAGCACACGACATTGTCATGGACACCAAGTGCGATGTTATGGTTCTGCCCCCCGTCGTGGATGTTGACGTACCCAAGTCGGCAGTATACGAAGCCATGCACTCTCCGGTATGAATTAATGATGCAAAAATCAAGCGCCTCATACTCTCAGACCGTGATCGATCGTCCACGGTCGACTTCTACCCCACCATCAAAGACCAGGACCGAGTCCTGTGTATTGAACAGGTGCCTTAGCGAGACGCCACTCGGTTGCCGTCCGCGACACAATCTTTAGGACAGATAAATAGAGATTGAATCTTTCATTACCTTAGCCTACCAGTTTAGCCCTCACACTAACATTACGCACTGGAATGTAGATTACCATGCACGGGCTTACGGGTTCGTGACAGCGTCACAAGTTGAGCGCGTCTGTGACTAGCTTTTCGGTCACGACGTTGACTTGGCATCGTTGCATCCACGGCTTGAACACTGCCAAGGCCTGGGTAATTATCAACCACGCACAGGTTATCTGAACTGAGCAGGTCATCGCAGAGTTGTACGGTACAATACCTGCTCCACGTCCACTGCTTGTGGCGTGAAGAGAATGGTCAGCGTAAATAGCAGCACTTCGTACGTGTATTCTTGACAAGTGAGCGCCAGGATGACATGGCGGAGCTGCTACGAGGAGTAAGACAGACGATTAGCTGAAGAAGAACCGCCAACTAACAGAGAGTGTATGGTATCACCTTGTGACGAATGGCATCGGAGGTTGCCAGATCCACGAGCAGCTTCGAGACATCCGCTGATGTTACGCGCATTAACCAGGACGCAAGAAGCGGAATGATCTTTTTCAAACATAAACAAAAGATCATTCAGGTTTTGACTCCTTATCAATGAGGATTGTTCGTACCGTGTCTCGACTGTGACGTGTGGGGAAGTCAAACTTTGCGCTGTGACGAATCAGCACTTCCATGATCTCCAGATTTGCTGGCATTTTTACTGCGACGAATAACGGGAAGGTATTCTGGATGTCATCAATGATTAGTCTTAGACTGGGTGAATACAATGACACATGACAACCTCGTAACGTACGTTATCATCACGCAGGAAGCTGAAGCTGTTATCGCAGTTCTGAAGTACGTCCATCTTAATGAGAGGGTGGTTTAGCACGGCTGCCCCACTTGAAGCCTTGCTGATATCGTCGTGGTTGTTCTCGTCTGTATTATTTTGCTGAAGTAGCATCTCGAGGATCTCCGGGCGGCCACGGGCACATGCCACTTGAACAGCGTTTTCACCCTTGGCATTGGTCCAGTCCATCGGAATCCCACGCTCCAGTAAGAACAGAGCGCATGATGGAGCATTGTATTCCGTTGCGATGTTGAGAAGACGGCCACCTAACTGGTATAGTCAAACAAATAGAGTTAGACTGTTGAGGATTTCATGGTTTTAGAAAAAGTAATCAACTTCCACCTCTTGGCCGTCTGCCTTGGACATTCGATTGTGTACTTGATCGTACAGTGACTCGAGTATTTCTGCATACTCGTGACGGACTGCCATCACAAGCGTCTTATCCTGTGTGTCAACATGGATAAACAACATAAGCTTGTGTTAGTACTGGATGTATCCCTCCTTTAAAAAATGATGACGATACCCCGACAGATTTCACCAAACCGGGGCTATTCTCGGCCAGCGCGTTGATGATGTCCACGAATCCGTGCTCACCAGCGATGTCCATGGCGCTTCGGCCATTGGTATCCAACGCGTTGGCGTCTGCACCGTGGGCGAGCAGCTTCTCCACGTGCTTGGTGAGACCGTACTCGACGGCGTTGAGCAGTGCCGTATCTCCGCACTGCACGAGCATCGCAAATAGCGTTAGAGTGTCAGCACGAGGAGAGGATGTATGCTTATGCTTGGATGATAGATACTATACCTCGTCGGGCTGGTCCACACAGGCGTTGTGCGTTAACAGCATATCCAATACACTTGTGTCAATATCCCGGTCCGTGGATCGATCGCGCACTTGTCGACGCTTGGAGATGGCCATCTGAAGAAAGACGCAACAGCAATATAGACTTGCTATTAAATGGGTTTGAAAAGAGCGTGTGGACAGAGTTATCTGGCTTACTGCCACGGGTGACTGGACGTCAATGCACCGCGAACGCAGCAGCATCGTGGGTCTCATTTTCTGCAGACAGGTGCGCATGACATCGATCTGTAGTGCCGTCATACCCGTCTGAATATGTAGCACAGTACAGAGGAAGTTAGACATTACTGGATGTGCGTTAATTTAATATGATATTATAGTCACCTGGTCCTGTAGCTCGATGTCGGCGCCGTGGTCAATGAGGAACTGGACAACAGCGCTGTGACCCTTCCACACGGCAACATGCAGTGCCGTGCACCGCTTGAAGGTCTTGTAACGTCGGACAAGTGCAGCCGTTAGTCGGGTGACAGAAATCTGAAATCTTCAGTCGCTAACCTGGTGGTGGAGCTGTGCATTGAGCAGGTTTGGGTTGTCAGCGAGCAGCATCTGTAGCGTGACAACGTCACCGGAGTCGGCCGCGTGCATCCATTGGTGTTCTGCGTCTGAGTCTGGCGTTCGTGACACTGGAAGTGCCGACATGGTGTTCCAGAGTGATACGTTCCGTTGTGCTGTTGCTGCGAAAGTTCTCGAATGACCGAGTCTACTTGCTGGAAGTTGTTGAAATTATTTAGGGTATTCTGCTCATGCAGTTAAGAATAACTTATGTCGAGTGAAATCTGGAAGAAAATGGGCATTGCATTGGCAGAAACAAGGTTCACTATTCATGGCGATTTTTGTGTCTTGACTTCGGGCTTGCTGTATTCGAGAGGTTTTGGACGCTCTGGCAACTAGAACTCGCTCTTAAGTCGAAGAGGAACATAATATTCATACAAATAAGAGTTGCTTCTGCCGCTTGATGCGATCGTGTATGCATGGAGCTAACGGCAACGATCACTCGCAGATTACCGGATCGCTGAGATTTTGCTGGATCCAGATAGGGGTGGTCAGCGGAGAAAAAAAAGCTTTTCTTAATAAAAGTCTTAGAGGACTGTTATAAAGTAACTGTCGAAAATGGAGATGTGGTGAACGGCAATGTCTGCTGTCCAGGAGTCTTTCTAGAATACGAGCCGAACGCTATAGGGAGCATGCCGTGGTATTGGTGCAAGATTTAGATGCTTGAATCACCATCCAAAACGTAAGTACAGTTTTCCTCTATAATTTTGCCGACATGACAGAGACCGAAACTAAATGTATAGATCTCGAAACATCCAACGGTACAACTGCCTCATGCAATCTAAATTCAACACAATCAAAGCTTTAAACCTTACTCATCTCAATACTGAACGAGCTTTGGATCAAACACCAATTCGGTGCGACCTCCAGAAATCTCATTGAATCGTAAAATACAAATTGTGTAATTTATATGTAAATTTCTTAAGAATGTAATTTATGGAAAGCTTCAGTAAAGCATCATGCCCAAATTGTAACGAAACAACTAGAGGACCCGACTGGCTACATGGTCAACCGAGAAATGTTTTTTCAATTCTACGTTAGATTTTGGCAATCTCTTGGCGAGAAATAGCCAGGAATCATTATCCAAAGTGCCGGGAATCTTTCCAAGCAACGGTGAGCTTGCTCGACGTCTTCAGTTGGTTGACATATATGCTTGCGGTACCGTAAGCAACCAATTCTGAAATCTAGGAGAGACGCAGCTGAAAAACAGGGATTTTACAGAAAATTTTAAAGGGATACAAAAAAAAACGACAGCATTTTCTCAAAATGATAAATGCTTGAAACTGCAGGCCGTTTTTGGCCGAATTCACCCGAAATCGCTTGCGGAACAGAGTGTACAACAGAGCTTAATGGTGCTGCTTGGAAGCGCATGCAACATGCTGTCACGTTACATTGACACCAGGGCGTTCGAAGGCCAACTACTACCAATTCCTGCGTTGGTCAGATATTGATCATTGTTACAAGGTTGCAAGGATGTTATTCTTGCAGGATCTTTCTATTACTGTTTGCAGTTCTTTCCATTAGGAAAATACAGTACAGGGGTGTCTCTTGCTGCTGCTTGGCATCCGTCGCCTCATTCGAAAACTTTCGCAGCAACAGCACAACGGAACGTATCACTCTGGAACACCATGTCGGCACTTCCATTGTCACGAACGCCAGACTCAGACGCAGAACACCAATGGATGCACGCGGCCGACTCCGGTGACGTTGTCACGCTACAGATGCTGCTCGCTGACAACCCAAACCTGCTCAATGCACAGGAGCGAGGGTCAAATCTACAGGAGAAATTTGCATATGTACAGACGAATGGCTAGAATTACTGAGACCGTGTGAAATATACAGAATTGAGGACGTGCTTACAGACGGATGAAGTAGTTTTACAAAGCTGTCGGTTGAAAGCACAGACACAACTGTCATGATTGGTGGTGACTTCCACGCGCTATTCCGTCTGCAAGCGGATTGGCCAGCTGAAATAGTCTCGTGCTCAAATTCTAAGTTAGTCGTTTAGTCCGGATATAGGCGTTCATTCACCAAACCATAACAGCCCCACAGAGACACCTTCATCTCAAGAATCAGCATGCCTAACTACACTTGGAAGTTCATTCGCTCCTGCTCGACTGAGGTAGACATGGAGGATTTTATCGATATACAGAAGAGAAGGTTGAAAGTTAAGAATGAACTCGAGAGATGCCAGGTGTGCTCGCCGAATGGGAATCAACACCAGATGCGCTATATAATCTACAAGTGCAATTCGACTTCGTGTTCGGAGAGTGCAAGTAGCCTCCAGAGTTGCAACTGGTTTGTCAAAGTGCTGTTTTGCCAAGAAACCCTCAAAAGCAATATTTTTCAGAGTGGAGTCCACTTGAGCACTATATCATCACCCAAGACGTTTGGAATTAGTCTTGGTATGCAAAGATTTATTCGAGAGCGAGATTCAGCGGGTGAAAAGCCATCTCGCGTAATGAACGAGATGGTGCTTCACTTCAAACTGGAGTCAGCAGATCCGAGAGAATTGCTACCTCGTGTTCAAACGCGAGTTTGGAATCACCGTAAAAACATCCTGAACGGCAACGACTATGTTGATGAAATGGAGGCTCTAATTCAGAAAAATCGGTACTCAAGTGGCCTTGGCGACAACGTAGCCTTTGCTTTCGGGTATGCTGTAGGCTATATCGGCGAACCCAAATTGGGAGAGGGATCCGACGAAATCCCGCTAGTGGTCGGGTTTGCGACAAAAACGTCTATTCGGCGACTTCAATATGCCAATAGCTACATGACCCATCTTGATGCAACTTTTAAACTCAACACTAGAGGTTTCCCGGTTATCGCTGTTGGAGTATCGGAGTTGTGGCGGCAATTTCATTTAGTATGCATGTTTCTAGTGTCCGACTTGAAGCAACCTCAGTGGGAACATGCCATCTGCTCAATGTTAAATATGTACGTCACCGTTACGGGTGAACAAGTTCACATTAGCTACGTGATGATGGATGCAGATGCTGCTCAACGAAGTGCCTTCGAATCAATTGCCGCTCAGTGTCTAGATGTGGAGAGTCAACCAAAGTACATGATGTGTTTTTTCCACGTTATGAAAAACGTGAAAAAACGCATCACCTATCTTAGTGAATCCAAAAACCGAATAGTTTTTCGCCACATTTATCGCATTCACTATGCTCGGGATGGAGTCGAAAAGAAGCAGTGTATCAAAGAGGCGATAGCTGATTGGAATAAAGATCGCGATTTGAAGGAATTCAGTAGTTACTTTCTCAAGCAGTGGCTCACCGGTAGATTTAACCTCTGGCAGTGCGTGGAGAGTCCCATGGCATGGCGAAGGCGAACAACCCCATTGAAAACTTTAATGGACAATTCAAACAGCAGCACACGCAAAGGAGACTTCTGCGGCTAAACACTCAGTTCGAAAAGCTTCTTGAGTGTTGCTCTTTAAAATCCATTTTAAGCATCACGTTCGAGACTACAACGCGTGCATCAGTGGAGACCTTACGTGCCTATCGTAAATTATCGGCTCAGAATGCGTTTAGTATCACCCTTGTCCCAGAAACAACGATCAACGTTCACAGCGGTCGCTTGTATAACGTTTATCAGCGGTACACCAAAACTACACTGTCAAATAAGCCCTCAGAAGCGGAGGAGCAGTCAGCAGTTGAATACGATTTTGAAGCAGAGTCGCAACCCGCATTTGGCTGGTTCGTTCACCCCGAATTTCGACAGTGTAGCTGTAGAACGTGGTTTAAGCTGGGTGCGTGTGTGCATCTAATCGAAGTGCTGAACCTGCTCGGCAAAGCTACCGAAGGATCTGTAGCCAAACGACAAGTCTTTGAGGACCGGCGTATTAAAAAGAAACGCGGCCGTCCGGCTCAAGCTGGCTCAGCTCTTAGTCTTGAGTAATTTGTTTCAGCTATTCAACACTTTTCGTTTATATTAAAACACTGCATTATTCTTTTCTGAACCATTTCTCGTTACCTATTGCTAAATCCGTAGGTATCAGTGATATGATATGGATGTGATCGTGCTTCCGAGCGGCACAAACACGATTTACAAATAGAACTATTCAGACATACAACACTAAAAGGCTTGCTCGGCAACCTTACTTAATCTACAACCTCTGACTCTCGAAACCACTTTTGTCGTCCTGAGCGACGATATGCTATGCATAATGGCATCCATAGCAACACTATAGCCGATGGGCACATGTAACGATGTGGATGTATAAAGAAGATAGTACTGCACTTGATCCAAAGAGCGTAGGATCTCGTGAAAACAGGCTACAATAATGAAGGGTTATCAACCCTGTGTTTGTATGGGTCTCGGTCCCGGTCTTCTTATCGATAAACGGACGCAAAGACCTAACGCCGATAACTTTGTTTCGGAATTTAACCAATCAGAGGGTTAGTATAAAACCAATATGGAGTTCGCTTCTAAAGAATCAGCTGCACGAGAAGAACAAGAGGCTCGCAGTCTTACGACGGCACTGGCGCTGGCACTGAAAGCAAGAAGCTCCATGGACACCAACAGGAGTACTGTACGAGATCATGACCGTGCCAGCTGAAAATACGGTGGGAGACCATGCTGATGGCGGACGATAAGGCTTGGGGGTATCTGGAGCTGGACACCGCTACCAAGCATGACACAAACCAACAGCTGAAGGATGAAGACTTACTTGAGGCTCTGTGGAGGAGCTGGGGCGATGAACTGGGCTTCATGAACAAGACACCTGTGTATCTGGATAATTTGGACGCTCTGAAGAAGCACCAGATCCATGCTGTTCACGCTCGCTCTCTACTTGTTCTCGACTTTGGCGATGAGCTTCACTCCTGAAGCGATTGGCTTTGGTTCGCTGTTTCTCACGCTCCTGATGCCGACCAAAAATTTGCCTTCCTGAGCAATGACCAGATCGTACCTCATGAGGATCACGTCGGTTAAAGTGTAAGAGAAATGATGATATGGAAATCATTGAGAGTGCGATTGTTGGTTGGATGAATAAGGGGAAGAACAACGAGTTGTGTATGGCTTACAATTTTTCCTTTCCTTCTATCTCTGAGGTCCTACTTGTAGATTTGGATTGGTGAAAGTGTTGGTGATCTCTTCACGAATGGTTTCGATGTTCTTCGACAACCAGTTTAGAGACTTGCTCTTGCCTCTTCGATAGTCATCTATAGCTTGGACAGCCATTTCACTTGCTACGCTTTCCGCGAGGTTGTGATTTTTAAGATGTTCTTCTACCATTGTTTGAACAAGACCAAGAATTTTCGTCTGCGATTGAAGAATCGCCGTTCATCCGCATCACACCATTTAGTACCGTGTTTTTGCTCAAGCTCTCGTACAGGCGTGCATCCATCCACTCCAACAGTCCACTCAGACCATAGCTCGGATACACTTTCAAAGCCTCTGCGCATCTTGTATTGAGGGGCAACTGGAGTGACTGATGTGGTTGTATCTGTGTCTGTGCGTGGTACAGGCTGCAAAAGTGTCTCCGTACATCTATTAGTCGCTACAACCTGTGAACCGTGTTCCAGTTTGACTTGCAGTAAGGCGGAACCGCTTTGTAATGGCTCAATGATCTGCTTGATACCACAAACTGTACCCTCGACAACACGTAAAGTAGCCTTGCCTGTCTTGAGTAGCTTTAAATCATACCAACAAGAGGAGGACGTAAAATCTGGAAATTTTTCTCCATCAACATGCCAGCGCCAAAACAGGTAAATTGCCAGCATACCATGACCGCATACACGCACGTTTTTGTGACGCATACACGCACCCACTTCAACAAGACCAACTTGGTTGTGTTTTGCCTTGACGCATTACCATTACCAAAGCTCGGCAGGGATTGTAGCCTGCGTTCTCCAACGGAATAGAGTGCAGATCGGCCAGTTCCAGCATTCTAACTGATTCTCCCCTCATTAGTGCGTAGTGACTTAGAAGAAAAGCCAACAGGTTCCGCAAACTAGTTCCAGAATCACCTTTTGTATCCCAGAAGTAGCTAGCAACTTGTTGAATTTGTTCTGTTGCAGTGTAGCCATCTAAAAGAGTGTCAGCACCACGATCTTCGTCATTCTTCCTCTTACGATTATCTTCTTCGTACTGAGTCAGCTTGAGCAACGCGGTAACAGCATCGTCTCTTGGAGAAGGATGGCTGTTGATTTTAGCCCTAGCTTGCTGTTTCCACAGGTCAACCATCGCGGCGACGTAGCTATTCACTGTCGAACGCCCAACTGTGACTTCTCTTCTGTCTTTTTTTGTGATCCACGGTGACGTTTTGCTCTTCCGATGACGCACTCTTCCAAAAAGAGATGCAACTTTTCTCCAGTCACCGTGAACCGCGTGAGTTCGTTGAAAGCACTTCCTTTCGCAGTACACCACTGCATGAACTCCTGTTGACGCTTCCCGTAAGCACGCTGAGTATTTTCAGGTCTTGACTTCGCTGCTTTATCATACGTTCGTTGTACAGACTCCTTCAACTCCACAGACATTCGTGCCTCTTCCGTCATGGTAACTGGTTCTTCAAAAGTTTGCTTCTACAAATTCAAACTACCTGCTCGACGTACCTGCTCGACGTACCTGCTCGACGCCCTCAAATTTAGAACTAAATTCAACCAATCAGAACCGTTAAGACCTGAGATCATGATAACTATTTATCTACCCTGTTGTGCCGTAATAAGTCCTGTTATCATATGAGATGTGCCGGTCCCGGTCCGGACCCCAGTTATGATAATAACCAATAAGTGTAGATTGGCAGACTAATGACAAAAAGCTGGGCTATCAGCAGTGTATTTGGTGATGGCCTATCTCTTATTAGCCCACAAGCCTCCTGATACCCTTGCTCAACCTTACCAAGGTAAACTAAGCCATACTTGCGTGCTAGGGATGCTCCACGACCCACCACACAAACGCACGAATATGTCGTATTGCATCACATGTGTATAATATTACTTGTTGCGTAGTGTCATTTTGTAATGGTGATGACATACCAGTTTGGCTTATGCGGTGGTACTATCCACACAGAAGTTTAGAGTCGAGTGAACTATGATGCAGCCGACGTATACCCTTCGTATAGGTTTTTAGAACGGACTTCAACCAAAAATTCGATGCTTATAGCAAACAAAAAACACGGATGGACTACGACAAAATCGGCTAGTAGGTGTTTCCAATGTAGCCTGCAGCACTGAAACACGCGCGGAGATGTAAGTCGTCGTACAATGCAATATGTCGCTCGACGACCGAAGATGGACACATTACTTTCTGATTCAAACATTTCTTTCGATATGTTTTAAGCACTCAGTGGCTTCTCGACGTACGTGTACAACCCATTGGTATGGTGAGTCCATGTGAATAGATTGGGCAGATGTGCGAGTATGGGATCCGGATCAGCAAGACGTATTAAAGCCTACTACCGGAGCAATTTACTGCCCTAAACAATAGCCAATGCAATGAATCTACCACTTTTTGGATTGTAAGCTCATAAGTTCGTCTATATCAGCTAGGCAATGGGCAGTATATTAAAGAGTTTGTCGATTGTTATGCCAGGACAGAGGTAGACTTCGTAAAAACGTGATAACTGCTCAATGGAGGTCAATTTGAAGCCACTTCAAGATCGTTACTCTACATTACCGATATGTAGACCGCAAACGAATCTGACAGGATGACTAAATTTAAGTCCTTATGGACTAATTAATAAACCCTACGTCCTCCCTATCCCTTCTGTAGAAATCACAATGCACCTGTAGATTGGCATTTTCCACCTGTAGAAATAGCGTTCCGTGGTGTTTAACCCGTGGATGTTGAGATGTGAACTACACGTGGTGACCCAGAAGCTCCTCACGGATGCGCTAATGTTGTCATACCAGATTAGCACGGTGGCAACCAGTATAAAAAGTGCGATGTGTATTAGTGTTTCTAAAGGATTAAATTCCTTATTGCTGTAGTACATGATACTTCATGAAGTATTATTTAAAAGCGTCCATTGCCACGGATCTTCTTGAATACTTCCTGGATTTCTGCCGTAGTCAAGTTGGACGTCTCCGGTACGAGGTAGTACACGAAGATGGTCGATAACCCAGATATCACAGCGAATGGGACGTATTTGTACGTCTCTAGAGCCGTAGCAAGGTATGGGTAGCCGATACCGACGACCAGGTTAGCAGCCCAGGCAACGAAGATGCCAATAGAGACGACCGAGCCACGAGCATGGTCAGGAACCACAGCAGCGACGACCACGAACATGATGGGACCGAGGCAGATAGCGAACGAGAAGACGAACGCAGCAGCAAGAGCGACGGTCGCTTCAGGGGCGTCGTACGCTAACGACAGCGTGATACCGATGGAACTGAGGCACATACCGACAGTGCTGAAGAGGATCATGGGTCGATTACCGAACTTGGCCGCCACCACGCCCGAACATAGTGTGGGGATCAAGTTAACGATCGCCACAATGATGTTACAGACTCGTCCGTCCGCCACACCGACGCCACCGAACAGGCTGGACGAGTAGTAGAAGATGGAGTTAATACCCGTAAGCTTCTGCATACAGGCGAGTCCCATACCCACGACCAGAGGACGACGCATCTCGACTGCGAACAACTCACTCCAAGTCAAACCATTGCCCCTGATCACTGTCTGGTGTCCAACTTCGCTCCAGCACGGTTCCTGGTTATCCTGTTTCTCTACGTCTACCGGTTCTTTCTTCGGTTTAATCCACGATAACGCAGTATTCACGTTCTCTTCACCATAAAGCTGCACTAAAACTGTCTCGGCCTCTTTACGGTGCCCATGCAGCATGAGCCAAACGGGAGACTCTACCATGATGAACTGACTGCACACCAGGAAGATCCCGGCCAAGACAATAGGGAAGCCGGCAATGATACGCCAGCCGTCATGGAAGCCCAGGTAGAAGTGCGTAGTATCAACCAGTACAATACCGAGATTGATACCGCCTTGGAGACCGATACCGAGCTTTGAACGAAGATGCGGAGGCGCGATCTCGTTGACGTACGTACCGACACAACCGGTACTGGCACCGGAAGCGATTCCAGCGAGGAATCGACCGAAGGCAAACGCCCAGATATTTGACACTGCCGCCTGGATCGTTGCACCAGCAATGATAAACAGGCAGTTGTACATAAGGGCACGTTTACGTCCTACTCGATCCGAGATCTTGCCCACTAGAAGCGCACCGATCATGCCTCCGACTACCCACGCGTTCACTACGACAGTCCATTGGGCCTTAGTGTGTCCGGGGAACACGATGCACGTGCCTTCTTTCATTGGACGAGCGTTGCACTCCTTCTCGTCGTTAAACTTTTTGTAGTTGAGTTGGGACGTATACCACCCGTACTGCATCGAGATCGTGACTCCGAGAAGCACACTCGTGTAGAGAATCCACTTTGGTTGGACAACTGCAGCTCGAGAGAAGTGGCGAGGTAGATGGCGAGTTGGGACCCCTGTGATCGACTGATCCTTTTCGTCTTGAGACGTCTCCTTTTCAGGGTGAGATTCTGGCAAGCTAGGCTTGACTTCTTCCGGCTTGAGAGCGTTATCCCCCTCAGTCGACATGTTGGTGTATCAGACTGCGACTCGCTTGAGTTGCTTGGGTACGAAGTGGAAGGTTGAGTTTTGCGAAGCTGCTAGCTTACTTTCCTGCAGCATCTCGTGGCTGCTTTCAGTCCATAGTTCCATCGTGCGATTAAGACGCTTACTATTTTTGCAAGGCATTAACGTGATGGCGTTCCGTGCTCATGGAAACGCATAGCATGGTGCCATGTCTTCACGTCGGTGTCGACACTTCCGAGACTTGGGCTATTTATCGGCTGCGTAAAGAAATGAAGGCACGCAATGTCTCCTTCCAGGTCGCTATTGTTAGCAGTCCTCAGAGTCTTCCAACTTAAATATTAATCAGTCCATTCCCCACATGCTCATACGTGATGGTCGTTTCACGACGGAACCAGAATTGGTTTGTTAACCAAAATAGGCGCATCCACACACAGTATTCGTTCATCAGGTTTGGTCCGACTGATGCATGCCTCTGCGAGGTCAGAATCCACAGAGTTCATGGCCCAATCTGATCCTATAGCAAGTGTATACGCACATCTTTGACAAGTTTCTTTGTCACTTGGCCGTCTTGCTGTTCTTATCAATAGCTCCGAACCCAAATCCCTGCAGCTCTCCACGCCATTACCCCCGCTTGGCACAAAATACAATCTAAAACTCTTCGCAGTCAAAATCGTGACGTTATATTTGGCTTACCTCACATGCGGTCCACAGCTTCAACTCCGACAAGCTGTAGACCTCGTCTCAAAACGGCGTCGGTGGCTGCGCACAGTAAAAGTCGACTATCCTGGCGGGGATCTTGCAGCACGCGGCAGTTCTCGTAGAATCCGTGGAAGTGGCCAGCCACACGGAAGAGGTAGTCGCACAAGTAGTGCGGGTACAGATGAGCCAATGTAGCTGCCACTTCGTCGTCAAACTGGGAGAGCAGCAACGCCAACGCACGTTCAGACGAATGCCAGTCGATTGAAGCCTTTGCCAGCACATCTTGAGCTGCCAGACTGTCCCTTGAAAGTCCTAGAAAAGAGTCCCATGACACTCGATCATTACCCCCCGCCTTGCGTAGAATACCCTGCAGTCTCGCAGACGCATACATGAGGTACACACCCGTGTTGCCCTTCAGATTAAGCACATTACTCATGATGAACTTGTAGTTCCGTTCGCGTTGCTGCGCCAGTTCAAAGTAGCGTACAGCAGCGTCTCCGACCACACGGTTCTGGGCATCAACCCGTTCCTGAGTCAAATTGAGTTCACTCGCGATGACGCCCGTAGTAGCAGAGGCTAAAGCTTGACGGGAACACTCTGCAGCGGCGCCATTGAGTAGATCTTCCAGGTAGTCGAACGCTCCGTTGCGTGAACTGAGCTTCGTCCCGTCGTGACCCAGCACCAAGCCAAAAGGTGCATGAGTCAGCTTAACGTCCTCCTTATCCTGTCTTTTAGTCCATCCGGCTTGTTTCACTGCTGCGAACAAGTGCTTAAAGTGCAGCTGCTGACTCTGGTCCGTCACGTACACGATCTCGTCGTACTGGGTCGAATCTACGCCTGGGAAGCCATGGATGCGAGAATAAAGACACGCTAAATCCACTGTAGCGTACAAGAAGCCGCCGTCGCTCTTGCGAATCAGCATTGGAGGTTTGTCCGGTCCGTCTAGAAAAATCCCCAGCGCGCCGCGTGATTCTATCGCTAAGCCGCTGTCCTGCATCTTCTGGACGACTGGAGACACTAACGGCATGTAAGTGGACTCGCCACGTTCGTTGACGTTGACTCGGAGACGGTCGAAGATGCGCTGATAGGCGTCTCGACTCACTTGACATGCACGTGTCCACGCTTTTCGGACTTTTGGATCCACTTCGGCATCTGTTCCGAGTCGTTGCAGTTGGAGGACAACATCGTCCACCTTGTGCTTGAAATTTGTGTCCACCTCAAATCGGCGCTTGCCACTCTCATAGAATTTGCCCAACTGAGCGTCCGTTAGTGTATCAAGAGGCACGTCTTGCTCTAAGAGCTCCACTATAAGAGTAGATAGAGCGGACCCGACGTCGCCTGTGTGGCTGATTCTTGATACGCGGTGGCCACGGAACTCGAGCAGGTTGCAGATGGTGTCGCCCAATACGGAGGAGCGTAGATGACCCACGTGCAGCTTCTTGCCCATATTGGGGGCTGCGAAGTCCACCAGAATGTCCTTCTGCTCGCTAAGAGGGAGGACAGTGGGCTGAACGCCTTGTGTGGCCATGCGCACAGTCTGGCGGGCCACAAACTCGTCGTGCAGCACGAGGTTCACGAAGCCGCCCTTGGTGACGAACGCGTCCTTGAGAAGAGGGCATACTTGCTCTTCAACTGTAGACAAGTTATCTACGATGGTGTTAGCGAGCATTTCGGGAGTGGGAGCATCGGGTTGTGGAGGAGTTGCTTTGCTCTTCTTTTTGCGGTTCCCTAATTGAAGCGCCAGACTCGTCTGGTAGTCTGCATCGCTCTGCGCTGAGCGACGCACTCCCAACGACGCAGCCGGTAGAGAAGCCGCATCAATTGAAGGCAGAGACGTTTGCAGAGAGCGACGTAGCGCTTGCTGCAGGTGCCACGCGCATGACAGTGCCGAGCGCGGCGCGGTCATCCTTACTTACACTTGTGGCTCTGTTAGTTTACACAAGTCCCACGTAAAATGATGTGTTGAACATAAAATAGTTCGACCTTGGAACGGCGCTAACGATTGGCAGAAAGAAGCCCGCATCTTTAGCTGCGAGTCGCAGCCTGCGACCATCATGCCGGACTCAACGCCAGCACCGCTATCGTGCCCCGTATGCTTCGAGCGCTTTCCCACGGCGGCCGGTACGGCCTTCGCTCTGCATTTGGCGTCTTGCTCACGCTCCTCCCCTTCCCCTCCTGAGTCTCCGACATCGGCCGCTCACTGCCCGCGTTGTTTTCACGTCTACGCTGCCGGTACACTGGCGCATGAGATCTCCTTCCATGAACACGAGTGCGCACGCGTCAATGATCTCCCAGACGCTGAAAACGATGATAGCGCTTCATCCACCACTGGCCGCAAGCCCAAACGCCAGCGCAATGACGTGCGCGTGGAGGCGACTCCCAGTGTGACGCTCTTCCCGTCCCACTGCTTCCTATGTGGCAACGGCGGCCGTGGATTGCTCCACTGCAGCGGCAGCTGCGCGCGTGCTGCTCATCAGAACTGTGTAGACCAGCTACAGGCGCCCACAGTTGGTGAACCTCTGTCTGTGGCCGAACGTAAGCAGGCGGCTGAGAACTGGAAGTGCGCACAGTGTCTGAGAGGCCTACATCGCTGTCAGCGCTGTGGATTCTTGGGCCACGAGGCCAATGGCATGCGCAAATGCTCAGTACTTGACTGCGGCTACCATTTCCACGAACAGTGTCTGGAGACGGACGAGACGACGCACACGGGCTTCGTGTGTCCACGCCACACGTGCGCGACGTGCGGCACGCAGGAGACGGACATGACGCGCTGCAAGAGCTGCTCTGTGTGCTACCACATGACGCACTTTCGTTGCCCGAGAGGCAGCGGCGCGTCTACCGGCGCGTCCACGAACAACGGCGGTCTGGACCCGATCAACCTGTTCGTGTGTCCACGACACGACGCAGAGACCACGACGTCTCCGACCAGCAGTCCCGACGCCAGCAACTCATTGAGACAGAGAATCGCAGCCGGCGACGTGGTGCTCGTGCTCGAGTTTACGAACGCGTTGCTGCCGTCCAGTGCCAAGCAGGCGGCGCCCGACGCGGTCAACCACTGGGGCGTCGTTGTCTCGGCCGAGGAGACGGAGCCGCATGGACGCGGCAACCAGCTACTGAGTGTACGTATGTTCGCAGACGAAAATGTGCTGGTTGTGCCCAACCAGTACGCGCTGCGCGTGGCTACAGCGTCGGATTTCTCTCGACCGGTGGACCTGATCCGCCACTGCTTGCAGCGTCACGCTATGGTGGAGCTCCAGCTGCGACAGATGGAAGGTAATGTCGATGAAGCCGAGGAGAAACGTATTCTGCGTTCCAGTACGGCTGCGTTCGCTGCACGTCTCAAGGCACTGGGTGTGACGGCCGCTCAGGCTACGAGCGACGCGGAACAAGGACTTGCACGCTGGCGTCAGTTCCAGACGCTACCAGAGCCGCGTCATTACGACGGCCTCGGAGACGCGGCGCCCAGTTATCTGTACATTGACACACGTGGATCTCGCCCTGGGCAGCAAGCTTCAAACAGCGGAAGAGCTTCCGGGGTGACAGCAGACGCAGATGGAGACGTGTCGATGACGGATCCGGATACAGACAGTGGCGGCGCTACTGCGAACGGCCCGACCCGTGGATCCCCACACGCCAGAGCGCCGTCGCGACCAAAGAACGCTGGAAGAAGTCCACATGAAGGCGAAGCTGAGAAACCTACTGACACGCCTGGTGTGGACGCAAACTCGTCCGTTCAAGAGTCTCAGAACTGCTCACAGGACACGGTAATGACAGATACGCAGGACACTCAACAAGACAGCGACAGCTGCTCTCAAGCTTCTGCTACGGTAAGAGCCACCAGTCCGGATAGTGGTATTAGCAACCATACTATTGGCCCTGACGCGAATAGGAATAAACGGTCGGCCGACGTTATCGAGAGCGGTGACGTGAAGCGACAGAAGGTCAGCACGGAGTCTCCGGCTTTGGAGGCTCCAGTTTTTACGCCGACCAACTTCTGTGGACTCCAACCAGGAGCGACTCTGAGCAGTGCATCTGCGCCTGCTACGCTGCATATTTCACCCATGGCGTCAAGCTCCCGTACGATTCTGCCTCAGAAGCGAAAGCAGCTCACTCGGAAGCAGAAACTGCTGGCGGATATGCCTAAACTAGTGCTAGAAGACCTCGAACGGACGGCCTTTCGCTATCTGGAGGAAGCCGACGCATCGAGATCGAAGCCGGCACCTGTTCCAACTGACTCTGATGCTTTCCCTTGGGCTGCTCGTGCTGCCAACTTCCGTCCCGCGTTCTACAGACCCACAGTGATGCTAGGCCACAGTGGGTTGCGTCGACCTGGCGTAGACGCCGTCAGTCGTCTGTTGGTGAGCCAGGACAAGCGCAGTATCAAGTGTTTTGTCCAGACTCTGGAGGCTAACGAGGATCTGTCCAAGTGTTCTCACGTGGATCATCTCGACAAGAAGGCATCATCTGCGTCGCCGGGCTTCGTGCTGCTGGACTTGATGACCTTGAGCAGTTTTCGAGAACTGGAGTTGGTGGTGCGCACTCGTCTGGTCGAGGCCTTGGGGAAACACTCTCGCTACACTCGTGATCACTTTGGCATGGACGCGTACCAAGCGCAACGTTGGCTGGAGCAACAGCGTCGCAGGAAGGCCAGCGACCAGCCTCCCATATCGCTGTCTTACTGCGCGGTGGACGGCGTGAGACGCCATATCGAACTCAAAGAATCGACCAAGCAATCACCCAAGGACAAGCAGAAGTGGCTCTGCTTCTGCGCGAACGTGCGTCATCTTTCAGTGGCCATTACGGTCCCCAACGTGACACGGTCGGCATTGAAGTCGATGGTTGCACCCCAACAGGTTGCCGGGACCGCGAAGTAATGGAGAACGAGAAGCAAATACATCAAAACAGCACGAATAACAACAGCTAATAAGTTGTGGTTAAAAGAGTTTTATTCTCTTATCTGTATATAATACATGTACAAGTGTCATCACTGGCGCATTCACTTGGGTCCTTCGATGAGCCACTTGATGCCGTTGCCGTGCTTGACATTCTCGAAAGCCTCCTTGGCTTCCTCGAACGGCACAGTCTTCGAGATGAGATCCTTGACGTTCAGCCGCCCACTAGCAACCATGTCGAGTGCAAGCTGGTAGTCGCCTGCAGAGTACCGGAAGCTGCCGGTCACGTGTAGCTCCTTGCCGCACATGATGCCAATAGGGAACATGATGTCGGTCTTGCCCATGCCTCCCTGTGTGAACGTGCCACCGTTGCGTGCGACGTAGACGGCTGTCTGGATGCAGGGCTCCGCTCCACTCGCGTCGATCACGATATCGGCACCGTCGCCCAGTCCGCACTCGGCAATGATCTGCTCGGCCGATTCTTGAGGCGTCACACCCGACTTTCCAAGATACACGTGCGTCGCGCCGTGCTCCTTGGCCACCGCGAGACGTTTCTCATTGACGTCCACGCCGACGACTGTCGTGGCTCCGAACACGTACCGAGCCACTTTGCAGGTCAACAGACCCACGGGGCCGACACCAAACACCACGACTTTATGGCCCGGTGACACCTTGGCCAGACGGCAGAAGTGTACGGCCACAGCCGTGGGTTCGAGCATCGCTCCTTCTTGCATACTGACATTGGACGGCAGTTTGTAGCAGAAATCTTCGGGCATACGGTAGAACTTGGCCAGCGTGCCGTCGTACGGGGGCGTGGCCGCGAACGCCATGTCCGGACACAAGTTGTAGTTCCCCTCGAGGCAG